AACATGTTTAGAATAACACGTCACAGTTCAATGATATATATATATACATATATTCAATATTTTATATATATATATATATACACATATACTATAATATACATGTATATTCTTGAATCTTCACGACCGGTACTCCAGAGAGATGATGGTCCTATTTTCTCAATGGATGCAAGTCGGACCGCAGCGGCGACACTCCCTAACATCACTTTTATCCCTAAGAAACGTCTTTATTTCAAGCTTACAAAGCTTGAACAGCTCGAGAGGACAATTACATCCGGATAGTAAAGCTTGGACAGCTCGAGAGGATAATTATACCGGATAGTAAACTAGATCTCTCACAGAGATGTCTCAGATTTTATAAAACTAAATTCGGAATCCAGTATGAGCAGTAGGATACCTAACTCCTTCAACACGTACTAGATTTTACATATAGCAAAACCTCCATAATTTTAAAAAGTTTCATTTCGATATGTAAAAGTTATATAATAATTAAGAATATTAATAAATACTAATTTAATATATTTTTTACTTTAAATAATTGGACTATTGATTTATTTTCTGAAAAAACTGTAATTATGTTACCTTGAAAGGGTTTGCGATCAACATAATCTGTGTGATTGCAGATGGTGGTAAAAATGGATTATGCGCCGGCAACTTTGTTCCAGAAGGTGTCTGCAGTCTGCATTTGCATTTCTATGCATAATACAAGGCCAAAATTATAAAAAATACATATGTAATTTAAAAAATTATCATTTCTAAAAGTTTTAAATTCATAAATCTGTGAGTATGATTTATGGATTAGATTTTAAAAAATTAAAATTTTATTTTTCTAAATTAACAAGTTTTTGACATTAAATTTATATATTATACTTAAACATTTTTAGGATATTTTATAAAATCTTGTATTTATATCTTTAAGTTTATATTTTCAATTAAAGTCATATATTTAAATTCTCAAGAGATATAGGAAATTCTAATTAAGCATTTACCTTGGGTACAACTGCTTGAAATAAATAATTGCTAAGTGGTTTTGCATTTTTGCTCATCGTAGTAATTACTATTACAGATACATCTGGTCTTGGAGTATCTTGAGTAAAATGAAGTATGACACTTATGCCATTTCTTTCATCAATTACTGTTAGAGGTGGATTTATCCCTGTTAAGAAATTAAAAATATTAAATTCTTTAAATCGGTACTTATACAGAATAAGAAAATTAAAAAATAAATAAAGCAAAACAATATATCCAGATATATAAATTCTAACCTGGTTTAATGTCGTCAAGACAGACAGTGATATCGGTCAATGGTTTGATTTCAGGCTCAGCATTCGCTATCCTTGACATACCGTTGCGCAACTGTGTCATCTCTTGCTGTATTTTCACATCTGTAAATTCTGAATTACTACTTTTATGGCACGACGGATCAACAGTCATGCTTTTTGGCAAATTCATAGGTGTTAAAATATCCAAATTACTATTCTTTTCACATTTGTTTGTATTTGGTTGTTCCATCGCGATATATTGTGACATGTTGTTAAAGTCACAAGACGAACGTTGTTTTCGAAATGGATCATACATACTTTGAACTTTCATTAAGGTGCTATTTGTTTTGCTGTAAAAATATTGAACATTTTTTTTTTTAATCAAATTTTTCGAAGAAGTTTGAAATATTTACATAAAATCGAACAGTTAGGGAGTACAATCATTTTATCTGTTATTTTATAAAAATGAAAAATCATATTGCGTCCAGTGGACTCTACGATTCTTTTCTTTTCCTAAAAGCGTTATTAATAATATTTTCTCTCATGTAAGAATATTGTTTTCGACCTTTTATTAATAAGATAAGTAGTCATGAAGCAAGAGAAAGGATAACCGCTCCAACTATTTAAGTATATTGTAGCAATCCTTTTATTTAATGCAAAGAGAATATTATTTAATATTATAAATCCTCAGGTTGAATC